ACCCCCTGGTGCTTTATCAGGGACCATGATCTTGAGAAAAGTGCATCGTTTTACTTATGCACTTCATGGTCCAGGACAGATTTTCACAGTCCAGCGGCCATGATCCAGTCGAGGTCCAGTGAGGTGTGCAAAACCCTCTGCAACCATGGCACTTCACGGTCTGGGAGGCTTCTTCACAGTCTGGCAGGCCATGAACTACGGCTTCTAGCGTGAACTGCGGTTGTCCTCTCCTTTTGGCCCGTTTTTTTGCTCCTTTGCGTCGAACTTTCGTTCTCAAGTTTGATTTACCTACTAGGATATGAAACAAAGCAAAACAAAGTACAACCTAGCATAAAACTTAATCCCATTGGGTGAAATTGCCTCAAACATCTAAGGAAACAGGGGGGGTTAAAATGTGTGCATTTTGACCCGAATAAAAAAATAAACGATTCTAATTCGTCGAAATTATCTAAGTACAAATAATAGGTGTGAACGCAGATGTATAGCTATGCCAAGCATATGCTAGCCTTTTTCCTATATGTATAATCAATAACCAAACTTTACATCGACTAATGACCTCTAGGGTACACCAACCAACACAAATAATGAACTAGCCGCATATGGGGACAAAATTTAAGGTGTACATTAGTCGAAATGACGAGATACCTAAGTTATTGAAAATGGTTTCCTAATGAGGAAAATCATAAGCTATACTTGAGCATGTTGATCGCTTTATGGAATCGACGAGTTGTTGTTTCGACAAAGTAACCCCTTATATGAATTCATCCTCGAATGTTGGGCAAAAGGGTCTATTTATAGCCTCTTTCATCAGGTTTTCTAAGAGATTTAGTTGGAAGGAAAGTCTTATGTCTGTATCTCTCTAGTATATCTCTAGTTTAGCCTTCAAGTCAGGAACATCCACACAAATCTGGGTTGATCTATGGCTTCTGGAAATCGGCAGTCGAGGCGCCAATTTAGGCTATGGTCGACTAAATGGGCCGCCATTTTCTGAACTTGGTCTCCGGGTTCATTTATGTCTTTCAGCAGCAACTAGACCTTGAAAAACATGAAAAACTACCCAAAGGATACCAAAATAATAAAAATATACCTAGAAGCTATTAAGCACACCTTCGAGCAATTATCAAGCAATTCCATATCATTATGACCATAAAGATATGAGAACTACGTAAAACATATCATAAAATATTATAATTTATGGGTCATCAAATAACCTCACATTTGAACTTTGTTTGTCCCCAAGCAAACCATGCTCACAAATCACAATCATTAGACTTTTAACATGCATGTATTTTCGATCATAGGTAGTAGATCATAAGTAGCTTACAAGCTCAACTCTCGCACTTAGAGAACTAGACTACTTCACTTAGGTACATATATTCTAAGGACAATATGGCCATCCTCCAATTGTTTCCATTGGTTCGAGAGCCCTCATTCGTCGACATTGGATATCAGAGAGGCGACATAAAACATAAGTTTTTCTGTTGTTGGAATTGCAATCAATTGTTTCTCTTTTTCGTTTTCATATCTACATTTGTCTCCATAGTTTCACGATCCTTCTTCATATTTATTTTTGCTGTTGCCAACGATGATGTTTCATTGGATCTGTTAATGACCACATATGTTGTGCATTACAACAGCTTTTGGGGGGGGGGGAAATGGAACAAAAGACTCGCATGAAATCACAGTTTTCAACTCGATGGAGAATGACGGTGGAAAAGGAGATGTTGAAGGTAATTTGCTCTAATTTATCCATGTTCTTAAAGTGAATATAAGAAATTGGTCAATGTATACTACAAATGTTATATAACACATCTCAATTGTCATAAAACAGTCCACAAATGCCATATACCACAGCAAAATTGTGATACAACATTCCTGAAATATCAGAAACTAAGCCTCACCAGCAACACTAAAAAAGTAGACCATGAGTTTCATAAACTACACCAAAAACATCTCAATGCATGAAAAAATTCAATAGTGTCATAAAATATACCAGAAAAATGAGAGAGCAAACCACAAGTACCATAAAGCAAACCAAAAAGCTTCCCTAAGACAATCGAAACTAAACCTCACCGAAAACTTGAAAAAGTAAACTCAAGTTCCATCAACTGTACCAAACCCTGTCTATCAAGGACATATTGGTATAATTGATAAGGAAAGAAAGACAACGATAACAATATAAAAAAGAACACACATATTTGCGTAGTTCACTAACACAACTTGTGTTAGTTAGTCCACGGCAGGAGAGAGCCAGGTTCACTATCTCCACCTTGACCTGAATTCTACCTCAGAATCTCAAATGTACTCTGATCCTCACTCTCTCTTCCCTCAATGCCCAGAGGGAGAATTCATCCACTCAGAACATTCAGCAAGTCCAAGCAGTGTTGGAACTTGTCTTGTGGAAACGGTTTCGTGAACATATAAGCATGAATGTAGGCAGTGCCCATTTTCTTCAACTTAATCCTCTTCTTTGTTCTCATGTAACGATACCTCACAATAATTTGCTTAGTCCTCTCATGATGGACTTGATCCTTAGGCAAGCATATTGCACTCAAACTGTCACAATACACCACTGCCTGATTATGATATATACCCAGATAACTAACCAGCCTGATATGATCCTAATTCGAGAATCCACCCAAACTTGGACGAAAATCAGAATTGCGCAACGTCGAACTCTTTTGGGGTTTTCTTCTTTCTTCTTTAACACGAAAATAGATGATAGTTGCGGAAATCGATCAAACAGATCCGAACTCGTGAGAAGGGCCAATTGGTATATGAAACCAATCAAACAATCTCGAACCCGTGGATAAGGCCAACCGATATAGTCGATGCTCGCCACAACTAGACGCGTTCTCTAGTTGATAAGAGACCACTCAATTCTCCCGAATCCTCAAAGGAGAGATTAAGCAAAAATGTTCACAAAGGAACTCGAGTAAACACTCAATGTAATTGATATCTGAAATCTTGGGTACCAAATTCGTAGGTCTTACACCCTCTATTTATAGAGGTCACAAAAACATAAAACTAACCTAAAAGGAATAGAAAAACAAATCTCAAACTAACTAGTAAAACATAAGATAATCAAAATAAATAATTAAACACTAAAATTCAATTAAACGCAGCGCTAGGCGCTTCCTTCTCCCTCACGGAATCACTTTTGTTTCTTTATTTCTCCCTGACGGATACGGGACACAAATTCTCCAGCTATCCTTCCTCTCTTCCATGAGCCAACATCTTGGTCCATTTAATTCTTTCCATCTTCACGTGAGTGAGTGCTGGTCCTTCTTCACATGACCATTAATTCACCAACCAACAAAATGGAGGCTTGGCAGATCGCCGTCCATGGGTATGTGTTGTGGATGGGGCGATTTCTGCTGACTCTCATGCTGCAGTGACCTTGGTCTTATTTGATGCTGCAAGGGAGGTAGTTATGGTGACAGGGCATCAATATCCGGGGATTCATGAACCTTTTTTGGCAAAGCTATTAGCGGTACGAGATGCGTGTCACTGGTGTAGTCAGATGGGTTTCCAGGATGTGTTGATTCAAGGGGATACTAAAGTTTTTATTGAGAAGATCCACGACACTGAAACAAGGGATCGGTGGGGTGGTGCTATACTTCAGAAAGTGGGAGAGTTGGCCAAGGCGCGCCCGGATTGGGAGTTTTGTTTTGTAGGTAGGGATCGCAAGGTAGCCCATTTGGTGGCTAAGAAGACCCTTTCTTTGTGCCTACGTTGTTGGGTGTGTTTGATTTTCATAATTGCCTTAAGTCTGTTATGTTAAGACTTATATCTGGTTGATCTTGGTAATATCATGAGCTTATGATAAAAAAAGGTTAAGGAATATCAATTAATTTACACCAAAGATAAAATATGATTTAATTTTAATTATTAGAATTAGCTGATAGCTTAGAATATTTTTATGAAATAGAATTGAAATTTGATTATATAGTATTATACTATTTACAGCTTATGTATCTGAGTTTTTTCTATTAGATTAAAAGAAGTCTTCAATAAGGATCAGAGTAGTCAAAAATTCAATTTAAATCATAACATCTTTCGATTTTATGATTAATTCCGATCATGATATCACTGTGGAATCTATAAATCTTAAAATCCTACATTATTCACTATTTAAATCACTAAAATCATTAAAATATTACGATTTTAAAAAATATGAACAATTTTAAGGTCCATGTTGAATTGATTGAAGTTGGACCTAATAGAACCGAGTTAAAGGAAAAAGATTAAATCAGTTAAAACCTTTTTCCTTCTCCTCCATCTAACATTATCTAGTTCTCTCTCACTATTAAATTAAAGACTCATTTGCCACCATGCAAGAAAATGCCAAAACCTATATTCTATTAAGGATGAATAAAATTTTAAGATTGAACTATAATAAGGAATACTAGCTAGGACACCACACACAATAACTAATAACCCATAATAATTTATATTCACCAAGTACTTGTAAGTAAAAATCTCCCTATAACGCCTTTGTTGTTGCCGGGAACTACTCCATAAGTTTAGATGCAATTTAGTTGGGTTGCATTTGTGTTGAATGGAAACAATAATCTTGAGAAATTATCATTTTAAGTTTTATGTGTCTTTGTGTTATTTATGCTTTGCCTTATTAATTTATTGGATGTTTGTTTCTATATGGACATTAAAATATTCTGATTTTACTATTCTGATTTTACCCAATTTGGGTAAAATTTTCATTGTGAGTGCTTTGGTCGGGATTATATTTTGTGGGGGAATTTAGGGAACAAAATCATTTTTTGTAACAAATTCATACAAATACCTTTTAATGCAATCTTTAACGGACAAAGTATGGTTTTCAGTATGTATCCACATAAGAAAGCCTCATATTACAATGAGATTATAAATTTCTATATTCGTCTCATTAGAATTAGATTCTCTTTACCTTTTCAATCATTCCTACATTATTATAGTATGAAATTTAGAAAACCAAATTTGAAATTCAATTTCCAAATTTATTAATTTTCAGCACTAAGGAGCTTGTATGAGATAACAATAAAAATCTCTAATAAAAGTTTCCAATTTTCCATAAAAGGAAAAAAGTAGTTAAAAATATTTAAGAGCGGAAAAAAGGAAGAGAGAGGAGGAATGAAGCTCACCTGGATGTAAATAACAAGCAAGACTGCAGCTGATGCCCCAAACACTATCCCCAAATACCACCAATTAAAGAATGAACTCTTGGCTGCCTTTTCCTTCGGCTTCTCTTCGTCGAACTGATCGGCGGCAAAGGTTTGGACGCAAGGCTTGTGCCCTCCTTCTCCCACCGCCATCACATATAGCGCTATGAAGAACACTGCCTCCCTGTGACGCATTGGCACCACTGACACTGACAACGCCAACAATACCATACCCTGTTTTTCAGCAAACGTTTCAACATTAATTGCCCAAAGAGTTGACCGTAACTGTCGCAAAACTACATTAATGAATGACCATTTTTCTCCCACTCTTTGAGATGTATATATGTCACATCAGTTTGTTCCCTGTTAACTAGGTGTGTCATACTTGAACATATCGGTGCCCAAATTCGAACATAGGAAGGTAAAATGAGGAGATCATGTTTCTACGTGTTGTCATCGTCTTGCTTGCAAATATCTTACTGATGAAACCACACCACCGAACGGAAAAACTAAAACCATTTTCAAATTAGTACTAATTAACTAATACTTACGATGAAGTAGACGACGGAGGCAATGAGAATGGTGGTGAATCTGCCTAGGTAGGAGTCGGCGACCAGAGCGCCCAGCACCGGGAAAACGGAGGAGACGCCAACCCATGTATTGACGTTCTTTGCAGCGGTGGCAAGGGGCTGGTGGAGGTGGTCCGTGAGGTAAGTGATTAGGTTCCCCGACAATCCGTAGAATGCAAATCGCTCCGCCATCTCCACAACTGTAGAGGAATTTCATTTGCCCCCAATAGTTTCAAAGAAAAAAATAAACAGAGCACTTGAAATAGAGGACACAGACTATGTAGATGAATTAAACTTACAGATAATGAAGAGGGCGGCATTCCAGCCGCCTTTGATGCGTTCACGCTGCTGCATCCTCTTCTGATCTCGGGCGTGAGGGCTGTCGCTACTGTTGTCAACCGACCCTGCTGGAGCAATTGCGGAATCCATCTTAAAGAATAAGAACAATATAATATGTCAGTAGAGAAAAAGTGGAGTGTATCCTTTTTCTTTCTAAGGTCCAAATTCTCTCTCCCTCACCCACCTAGTCCTTTTATATTGATAGTGAAGTATGAGTGTATGACAGTTGTGTTCGAGCAATTTTTACAATACATTCAACTAGCATGTATGGCACACCATGATTGGTATATTCCTAATTAATAAATTTCCTTTAAATAATATTTTGAAATAATAAAAAAAAGGAAAGAAGTGTACTTTAGGCAACAAAATTGTCATGGAATGGAAGCCTTTTACCATTTTGGAGACATCAGTAATATTTTTCCTTTTAATTTTAAAATCATTATCATGATAATTATCAAATCAATTAATTCCAAATTATATTAACCATGAAACCTTACAAACATATATCAAGCCAACTAGTTTGACTTTCTTGTATTGCATACTCAAGCATGATATAGGTTAGGTTTGAGTAGTCTATTAAAAGACCCTGTGCAATACGACCCTAGGCACATCTAGGATTATCATTTGTGTTTTCTACTTTATGCGCGGAATCGAGAGAAAGAGCAAGCGTGTGCCGAAGTGAGGGCTGCTATCTAAGCTGTTACGCATAAGGAATCGGAAGAGGAGCAATAGCAGATGAAATCTAACCATGAAGTTAGATTTAGCGCATGCATGCTGATTTTGAGAAGGAAAAGGCCAAAGTTGTGAAGCGCCACGATGAAGAAAGGCGGAACATGTCCGCACCACCATCAAAGTTGCTACCAAAGCCTATGGATCATTGGATGGGAGGAGTTAGAGTGCTAACTCCATAGGAGTTAGCTCTGTGATAACTACTCTAATCACCGTTCAATAAATATTTTTAAATCTGACAGTGAATAGCACTAAAGGGCTTATTTGGTATTTCAAAAAATAAAATTTAATAAATAAATAAAATTTAAAATATATAACTCGTCTTTTTAATACAGATTTCCACCGTGGAAAGTTACTAATGCAAATTTACTACTACTTATATTAGTAGTGATTTTATATTTTTTAAGAGTTTAAATTACTATCAGTAATGATTTCGAAATTCCGAATTAGTAATAATTGATCAATTTTAATATGAATCAGTAAGACATTAACATTGCTTACAATTTACAAATGAAATAAACTACTAACAAAGGGAAAAATACTACTAATGTTATTATAACTACTACACAATCACTACTAAAATACACTACTAACAACAAATCATAGAAAAGAAAACACTAAAATTAGTATACATAAAGCAAACAATATTCGATTTTCCCAGTGCTTGCGATCACCTGAAATAGGCACAAATCATTAATAGCACCCCAAGAATCACTATTCAGATCCGTCCCCACAATCCATGGGACTCATGGACCGCCCCGGATCTGTCGTTCCAATACGAAGAACTTACCCCAAAAATTTCAGGGCGGAGCAGAGGACAGCGTTGCAGCGAGGAACCACAGAGGTGAAAGGAAGGCATTGGTTGTGGTGGCACCAAAACGTTTTCCACGCATGAGAAGCGAAGCAACGTGTCACTTGCTCCCAATTGATGTGATCTTCTCCGACGGGAAGCTTTCTCTACTAGCGACCGTCGCCGATTCATCGGCTCTCTCTGCCAGGCGGCGCCACCAATGCTGTCGACGAGGGAACATTGAGACATCCTCAGATTATATAATTGACAAAAATAACCTCCAACGAATTATAACCCTCAGATTGTTATTTTATTCTAGTGGCTGTAAAAATGGTTAGTGTGGTGCTAACCCCTTAAGAGGTTAGCTACTAATCACATTCCATCATAGGATCCTTGGTGGCTGTCAAGAAAGTCATAGTTGACTGCATGTTCAAGACTATTGTGGTTGTTTGCAAGAAGGTGCGCGTGAGGAACGGTGGAATGTGTTGTAACACGATGACGATTGTTAAACATGTACATTGCTTCTTTGCTAAAGGCCGCCCGATTACTACCGACTCCGAGATTGAAACTGGGAAAGAGGAGGGTGAGGGTATCAGCGGAGCGAGTCAGTCTGCACAGTAGCTCTCATTTTTTGTCGCGTGATCGCTTTATCTTTCTTAAATTTTTATTTATGAATAAGCCGTTTTATTCATCAAGTAAGAGTGACAAAGCGCCACTCATACTGAAACCCAGTCTACATTCTCAAAAGAAACACCTTACAACACCAGACCTGAACAAGACCTCTACTCAGCAAGCTATAAGCTACACTCTACAAACTACAAATAGGTCTAAAAACCAATACTAGCTAATAAACTGTCCGAAATAACAGATGCAACAGCAGTGAAACTATGCTTAAGTAGCCCCAGGGGATCACTTATCCTTTTGACAAACTGCTCCTCTGTGAGAAGTTGTCCAGCATAGAGGCGTCTACACCTTTCTCTGCACAATTCACTAATCACCATTGTCCAAATCAATCTTTCGGAGCTAGCTCTATCATTTGTTGTAGAATATAGATTTGTAGCTTTCAGAAATGTTTCATTCCAGTCTCTCCCAATCAAGGAATGAGAACATGGAACTATCTTAAGTACCTTCCTTGAATAGTTGCACTCCACAAATAAGTGGTCTCTAGACTCAGGGGAGAATTGACAAAGGGGGCAGATATTAATGATTGAGCTATTCCACTAATGAACCTTGTCCAGAGTTGCAATCCTGTTCTGAACAATCAACCAAACCAGCAACTTGTCTCGAGGAGGACAAAGTGACTTCCATACCAGTTGATACCATGGAAGTCTAGGAGCTTTCACCCTTATTACTTCCCAAACACACTTAACAGAAATTTTTTCCATTAGACTACTATTCCAAAAAACTCCAGAACTTCTGACTTGGAGATGTGCTTCTGTTGTGCTTCTGATCTTTAACACTTTACGCCAAACCCAGTTAATGGCGAATGGAATGGACCAGATGTTTGTATACGTCAGTTGGTAGTGCCTCCCCAGTTTGCCCAAAGTGATGAAGAGTTCGAGAGAATTTCCCACAAATGTCTGATTAAACAGGCTGTATTCCAGCTCCTCAGATCCTTGAATCCCAAACCTCCCTCATCTTGTGGCAGAGCAACCTTTTCCCAACTCACTTTGGCTCTCTTCCCTTCAGCCTCTGAATCCCACAAGAAATCCGAGCAGGCTTTTTCAATCTGCTTTATTACTTTCACGGGAAGTTGTATAATATTCATCCAATATTGGGTTATGCTAGCTATAACCGAGTTGACTAATTGTAACTTTCCAGCATAGGTTAATGTCTTGGCACCCCATCCTCTGATCCTTGTTGTTATCTTGTCTACTAAAGCCTTGCAGTCCATCACATTGAGTTTCCCTGCTACCAGTGGAATCCCCAAATATCTCATTGGTAAGTTACCAATATGAAAACCAATATCTTCAGTGAGGAGCCTCTGAGTGCCAATGAAACATCCCACTACTTTGAACTTGGAAAAAGACATTTCTACCCCGGGGTATAATTAAAAATCTCAAATAACACAACTTTAAAATAAAATACCAAACTCAAACATCTTAATATCTCAAATCGAAGCCCTAAACACGTGGGCAAAACTTAAATCGTCCATAAGAAATGAATCTTCAGTCTTTAACTCTTAACCATAAAGTCTTAATAACTTGAAAAGTTCTTCGATGCTTAATCTGACGCCTGCCTCGACATCTCTCAGCGACGATGGTGTTGAGCTCCTCTAGCTTGCTGATCACGAACTGGCTGGTTAGGATTTCCTCTACGATCTGGTGAGTGAGTTGGGGTCAGTCTACGCCCTTACGTTTGAAAACCCCTAGTATTTCTTACTTGATAACTTAGCTTAAACTGGTGGATGATACTTCTACTCTTTAAAAATTTATACTTAAAGCTCAAATCTCAACTTAAATATTTGACTGACACTGGGATCCCTCACTAGCTAGTCCGGTTGCCAACTCATACGTATGAGAAGCCATCTAGGCTTTCCTGAAACTTAAACTTATCGTGGAAGGCTCTTCCTCCACGATTCTCAAGAGCATAACTGCTGCTCATCTTAAAAGTCTTAAGAGCATAACTGCTGCTCTATCTCAAAATCTCAAATGGCAACGGACTGGCGCTAGTGACTAAAACTCTTAAAACGGTTTCACCTTCTTGAAGGTGAAGTACTTCTGAAAAGAAAGCGTGTTCTTAAACTTCAACTTATTTATAAATATAACACACATTATCATATGTATAACTGGAAGCATAAATCACACGCAATCACATGCATCAAACAAACACACAAAGGCATATATAGCACATAGAGGTCAACCTCAAAGCTGAAATACCGTAAGACGTATAATTTACCCCCTTTACACTCACCTCTCAAGTGTCGATACTTTAATTCGTTGGACGCGGAGATCGTTAACTGGATCGCTTCCTTAATCCTATCAATTGAGATTAATTATTCTTAGTCGGTATTCCTTAGAGTTTTCCGTCCTCCCAGCTTAGTCCCAAAATTTCTTAAAAAGACCCTTAATCACTTGAAATAATTTTCCTCAAACACTGAAAATCTTTCCCCAAATTCACAAGACTTAACCTATTACCAATAACATAAAAATCCATTAAATAAATCTACTAAATTTCCAACAAACCCTTTCCATCTTAAAAACTCCAAATTCTGACTTTGGATAACTCATAACATAAACTAAAATTATTAACTATAATTTACATAGTAATTAACCCCTTCTTCCTATTGACTTGCAACCTAAATATATTTTATATCTACATTAACATCTAAAAT